GTAGACGGCCCGGCGCGGCGTGCGGGCTGGGTCGCAGGTCGCCCGCGCCCGTACGCGGCTCGGCGCGCGCAAGTAAGGCACACTTAACGCAATTTTTTCTTCTCTCTGCAATTACCGTATGCACGTGTGCGTGTGTGTGCACGTGCTACATATATTACACGCGAGCGTGTGCGTTTAACTGTTACCGGCAACATTACTGTACTGTGGACGAAAATAAATTGGTGATTTGTTGTAAGCGACTGTAAGCGTACATTGTTACGTCTCTCTCAGTGTGTTCCCGGCTTTAAGTTTGCAGTGCTGAATAAGTCATCTGTGTATGTCTCCTATTAACTAATTACCTTATTGCAGATTAAGAAGTCTTATTAATTCGTGAATGTATTACCGGTACATCAGTGAAACCACATCCGAATCGGGCAGCCACTGTGCGGGCTATCAGGCGTACCTACGCCGGCGAGTCTGCGCGGCGGCTGCTCGAGATGCGGTAGTAATATTAAACCGGATCTAATAGTCGTGGTCACTATACACTAGTATACGACGTAAGTCGGCCCGCAATGGAATATTCTCATTAACTCGGGCTGGCACTCGATATATAATAATTAAACAGAACAAAACGGTTTTCAATGATTTATTAACTAAAGTCCTGCCCTAAATGGTAGGGACCTCAATATTGACCTAGATGACACTATGACAATATTCAAAATTGCATAAATGAGCGTAACTACGGGTACATCCTGCTAAGTCTAACGCGAACTAGTCGTTCGTTTCTGTCTACACATAAAACAATAATTTCAAATACCAAAGAACTTCATCCTCGCTACTCAATGTGTACTGGCAGTCACATCGTGATGTTCATGGATTCCAGTAGCCACTTAACATCAGGTGGACCTTGAGTTCGTTCAGCTACTCTGTAAAAAATTAAATGAACCCAATATGCTTCAATTTGGCAATAATCTGGTCACGGCTTCCGTATTCCGGATGTAATCCATGTGATCCGGCTCAAAAGCCGTTCGTTAGCAGCGCCTGCAGAGCAGAGAGAGAGTGAGTTCTGATACCTCCCATCTGCGTCCCAGTGCGAATTATTTAACGTTCTCGACAGCGTAAACGTTAATTTGTACACATATGAGGTAACTTTTACGCCATCGAAAATAATAAAGCTCCCACTAAGCACACTGTTCCTTGCTCGGTCGCTATCACTGTCATCTCAAGCACCGGTCACCGGAGTAAACTAACCCATAGACACAGCCCACTGAGTTTCACGCCGGATCTTCTAAGTGGGTCGCGTTGGTAGATCCGGTGGTAGATTCTGTGAAACGCTGCTCTTGCTAGGGCCAGTGTAAGCAACACTTCCGGTTTGAGCCCCGTGAGCTCACCTAACAGTTCGGTGAATCTAGAATAAAAAAATCTCTGTCACTCGCAACAAGTCATAGATATACGAGCTGCCCCACGCATGACACCACCTCGCCTCGGGAATCGTGACCAACTCTGGAATCTGTAGCGGGACTTTGTTTGTAAATAAGAAAAACTGGATTTGCGTACTGTGATGCGGATTATTACAGTACTCTTTATAGAAAATGATTCGGATTATTATTATTTACAGATACTATTCAGCTAATGTAAAATACGCGCTATGTTATTTATGAAAACAATATAAATTCGTGTTCAATCACGGTCCGAATTGTAAAGAGATTGTCGTTATCCGAATTAAGAGAGTTTACTGTAAAGTTGTAAGTATCTAAACGTATTATTAGCGGAGAGATGAAATGCACTGGCACCAGGACACCCGGTGCGACTCGGTCATTTAATATAGGTATCATCTAAAGTATGGTAGGTATATTTTTCCATTATTAAGATGTAGATATACTCGGTCTTGGTTTGTCACGCTACATACAAGTTTCAAACCTCCCTCTTCCTGGCTGGGCTTTCGTCGCCCTGTTCTGGTCAAACTGGACAAAAAAGTCTCAAATGTTTTAAAAATAATTTGAAAACCTTCATTGGCCATCTAGCGTATAATAAGTTAACTACTATATCAACAGTATCACGTGTCAAATATTTCGAAGCGTAGTAAATATTATTTCTAACAGATGTCGCTGTTCTTAAATTAAAATGTTGACTAATGGTTTTTTACACATTTTTAATTTTAGAATTACAACTTATGTTTTTTAAATTATAGCAGCTATCACGTTAATATTATTTTTATTTATTTATTTATTACTAACGTGTGTATGAAAGCTCTTGTAGTGAATTTTAATTTAGGATTATACGTGAAATTAAAATATCAATTCACAGAGGGCGCTACCTTACAATTATTTACTAATGACAAAATTTTACATATACCTAAGACGTTTAGGATAATTGTATTTTAATTTTGGAAGGTTTCACTTCTACCACGTGTGAATTGCACACATTTTGTTTTTTTTAAATTACATTTTGTGTACAATTTTATTCAATCCATTGATCCAATTCGTTTGGGAGGAATATACTAATCCGACCTTAATTAAAAAAAATAGATTTTTTTTATAATTCGTTATGCGGGATTTACATTACGAAATTAGTGTCATGCATGTTGAACTCAGTTTCACGAAAGTAGTTTCGATATGTGCGAAAGTAATTTCGTTAAAAAAATTAGTGTCGCGAAATCCACAGTATCGCAGTAGCCATGGCGTCTTCAGCATCAAAGCTATATTTTGCTATATTCAATGTAGCTAAAGAAATACACTTAAAAAAAGACTATCAAGAAAAAATAAGGAACTTCGTTCCAAAAGACGTTGGTAGATTCGAGGATGGTCAACAAGAAGGCATTTAGGTGCAATGAAGTTAGTCTCTGAATTAGCAGATGAAGATCCTGAGAGTTATAAAAACTATTTTCGAATGAGTGAAGATAATTTTGATTTTTTTAATGTAGGTGTTTCGGGTCCCAGAGACACCCTTGTCGCTGATATTCATTAATAAGATCTATATTTTTTTTCTTTGCTCCATCATTGGTTTGCCATTTTCAACGCTTAGTTTTACGTCGCGTCTACACTATGAAATTAGTTGCATGACACTAATTTCACCAAAAAATCGCGCAGGGCACGAAACTAATTTGCATGCATGAAATTAATGCATGCATTACGAAAGTATTAAATTACACGTGAAACTGTTGGTAAAACTAATGTCACGAAATTAATATCATGCCAATAATTTCGTAATGTAAATTCGCCTTTATGGTTTTGTTACGTATTTGTAAAATAATATTTTTTCATATAGAATGGGCTCACATTGTGCCGATCGCCCTAACCTGTCAAGGATTGCCACGCGCATGAATAAAACAACCAAATAATATTTACATTAATAATGTTTATTTTCATTCAAATAACAAAGAGTTAAGCTATAGGTTCATAACCAAGGGGCTTCGAATGCCATCGATATTTGCGTCGACAGTCGATAGATTAAAATTAAAAATGTCAATACAACACTAAAGGTCAGATACACTTGATAAGACAATCTTCGGATTGGTCCGACGATATACGTTCGACAGTCACAACACTAATTTTCTAGACGTGTACACCGTCTATTTAATGGTAAATTGTCTGCCGGCAATATTAAGCTCAGTTCCTTTGTTTCTGTACACGCCCGGTCTCGATCCTCGACCACTGGGCCGCGAATAAACACTAAACAGTCTTAGGAGCACTGTTCTGTTTGATAGTTTATGTTAAAATGTAAAAATCAACATTTCGTACAAACATTAATATTGAGCATTTGCACCTCAGAAAGATTTAAAATTATTTAAAATTTAATACGTTCAAATAAAAATATATTTCTTTTAAGATTTTATACATCCAAGTGTTTATACTTACTATTAAAACATTTTAAAATAATTTAATTACAATTAATTAATTTAGTACAACATCAGCACTCGCCCGGCTTCCATCGCTCGCACCACTCATCATGTTGAACAGGACAATATAAAATTTAAAATAGACGACGAGTACATATTCAACATTTTCATTTCACGATAAAATTAAATTTGAAAATACAAGTTAACTTAACAAGGTATATTTAGAATTCACATTAACTTACAGCTATAGGCCGTTCTCATATGGGTCCAGTCCGTGGCGACGGCCGCGCCCCCCGGCCCGGTGTGGCGCCGCCGCGAAATAAGAACTGTGTGCTTAATGCGAGTTTTGTAAAGTTCTGCCCAACACGTCATTACGGACCCTCCCGATCCATTAACGGTGTTTTTAGGCACCACAAGCGCCGGTCCCCGTCCTCGTCGAACCCGTCGCTTGCGACGCAGAGCTCCACGAGCGAATTAAAATAGACACAGCCCACTGAGTTTCTCGCCGGATCTTCTCAGTGGGTCGCGTTTCCGATCCGGTGGTAGATTCTGCGAAGCACTGCTCTTGCTAGGGCCAGTGTTAGCAACTCTCCAGTTTGAACCCCGTGAGCTCACCTACTAACGCTAGGGTGAAGCTGAAATAGCCTCTGAAGGCTATCAGCATAGGTAGGAAAAAGAAAGTAACGTTCTCTATAGCGTAATAGTTAACTCATACGCAGTTGAAACGTTTGCCTACGTTTGCCGCTAGGGGCGCTGTCCAACTGCATACAAATTTGAGTTAACTTTTACGCTATCGATGGCGTTACAAAACTCGCACTAATCACACTGGAGTCTTAGATTAAACTGGCAATTGTTATTTTTCGATTGATTTACAGTTTTCGTGGTCACGAAGCCGTGCGTGCGGTTGTACACGAGATATTAACTGTAACTGTAAAGTAGTTTCAGTTATGTCTACGCCTCACGAGCTCTAAGAACAACACAATTGATTGGACAGTTTGATAATTCGCACGCTGGTGCTGTTCTCCCACCCGAAGTTAGGACCTCTTGTGACTCCGCACGGGTACGACCACCCTGCCTATTTCTATCGTGAGGCAGTAATGCATTTCGGTTTGAAGGGTGGGGCAGCTGTGGTAACTATACTGAGACCTTAGAACTAATATCTGAAGATGGGTGGCGCATTTGCGTTGTAGATGTCTATGGGCTCCAGTAACCACTTAACACCAGGTGGACTGTGAGCTCATCCACCCATCTAATCAATAAATAAATAAAATGTGCGCACGATGGCGCCAGACGATGCGTCTGTGGTCCAGCGGCTCAGATAGGACCAGTGTGGGTTTGTTCACCTTTAACGTTCACCGCAGTATACACCGTAGTCTACAATCCTTTTTAAGGTTTCATTATCACTTCCCAGACGATGTCCAATTTATGTTCCTGGTCATCCCTTCCTTAGCTAACTGCCTACCCCATCTTATCTTGTACTTGACCCGTCTCCTGGTCCTACTGCCTGTCTCCGAGACGTAAACACACTTTTAAAACTGGGATCACCATTATTCTAATGCAATCGAGACTTGGACGGCGACAGCATTCATTTATGGTCTCCAGTAGCCGCTAAGCACTAGGAGGGCTGTGAGCACGTCTGCTCCGTTCAATGCCCGTAGCACTTGTGGAGCTTACAACAAGACAAAGTTAACTGTACGTCGTGCTCATGTTCCACATTAGCTTGACAATTATTATATCGAGTGGCGCACGCGGGGGCACGCTCTGACACACGTGACAATCACATTTCATTGAAGGTGACCACGGAATCTGTAAATTATACCTTCCATTGAAAGTTTTAAAATTTAATTTCTACTCAATCAACAAATCAGAGCTTCACGTACGAGAAGCTTCGATAAAACACAATTAAACAGTAATACAGCCATTAGAATCACAGGAATACGGACACATAGCGCTACGGGTGAGGAGTCGCGCGCTCACGCGACACTCGCTCATCATAAATAAATAAAATAGTAATTTTTCCATAAAAATAAGTTATTGCTAAAACAAAATCATATAATTGGATAAATACCTAAGTATAATTACACAATTGAAATGAATTGAAATTGCCATTGTGGTCCAAATGCTGCTGGTATCCAAAAGAATTGGTAACTCAAAACAATTATTAGTTTTTTCAAATTATTTTACAACCAGATTATTTCAGAAAAAGTATTTTGTTGCTCTTAATCGCTCTAACAAACAAAACATTTTTCTATTGTAAGGCTGTGTACATAAATTAAATAGTAATAAATAAAGTATACATACCACCAGAATGAAAACACGTCTATCCATGTAATGTACAATACCCACATAAAAGACCAAAGATAGGTAAGTATCATGTCGATTTGACGAAATGCTTACAAATATTTTTTACTAAAATCCGTTAAAATTGATAACACCAAAAGATTTCGAGCTACGTAAAACATTTTAAAAATGTTGATTCAATTCAACCGGATACGACTACAGAACTATGACTTTACGGCAGCCCTCGCCGCGCGACCAATAGACAAATTACTTCTTCATTTCTGTAACATCAATGTTACCAGTTTAAAACATATTTTCACTAAAGTTAGTACATATTGTGGCAATATTTTGGAAGAATCATATTTTCATCGAATTTGGTCATAAAGAAACTTACGTTTTATTAAAATTGTTTTAATTATTAATTTATTTTCAATAAAACTTCATGCATTCGATGCACATAAAATTTTAAATTATTTTAAACTATGCTTACACTTACGTCTATATATTCAAATAAAATATCTAACTGATTAATAGACATTATTCTAGATTACAGTAAGATTCGTAAATTGTTGAGTTTGCATCATGTCTCTTGCCTAAAAACAGATAGAATCAGACATCTGGTCAACTCCTCTCTAGCTTACAATAGATGAAAGCCGTTTTTTCACATTCAGTCGCAGATACTTTTTAAAAATAAGATCTAAAATTTTGTGACGGCTATTACTTAAATGCATTTGACAACAAGTTATGGAGGCATTCTATCCGTGTGGAAACCGCTGTGGAGTTCAGCCTACATTCAGCGGCGGATTATTTTGAAATATACATCAAAGAAGTGATCGTTGTTAAAAGAAAACCACATAGCAAGGTACCGAGGCAGGCTGCAAACTCAACTCATCTTCTTTCATCGCATTCATAAGAGTTTTTCGTTAACTAGAACAACTAGGAGTCGCTACTAGACACCGTAGGCTCGGGGACTCACCCAATATCCGACTACGTTAAATTTCTTTAGTTTAGAACATTTCCTGAAGAATTTCATCCATAACAATGAATATAATTGTGATATACGCTTATTACACTATTTATCGTGAAGGTAACATTCATGCGAACTTACTGGTAATTATTTTTCTTTGTCGTCACTAAGCATTGAAAATAAGTAACTTATTTAAACCGACACAAGACATAACAGTGATCGTAATATGATAGTGGCTATAATTTAATTCAGACAACAAAATTCCTATGTCTTGTCTTGTCTATCTACCTTACAGTTAGGGGTTTTAAGAATTGTTTTTTTTTGTTGGATATGGACGAATGAACAAACTCGCGGTGTCATCAACCTAAATCTCAATTGTATAGTAGAGTGGTTGGCGTCCCTAGCCGGAAAGCATTACTCTTTCGGGGCAGAAGTAGTCAAGGTGGTTCTTGTGATGGTACCTACCAGTCATTACATGGTTATAATTATTGCGGGTTTCATTTTTATTACACGATATTATTCTTTCCCTGTGAAAGTCATTCCTGAATGTGTGTTAAGAGCATATTCGTAGGTACGTATAAGGAAGACTGGTACCTACCGGCGGGAGTCGAACCCCGACACGGTCGCGTCACTCGAGACGGATGTACCGGGCGTCTTATCCTTCGGCCCACGACGCCCTCAAAAATGACGGTTCGATTTTATTTCTTGTTAAAATTTAATTTGAATTTAAATTTAATGTGATTTTATGAATTTACTAAATAATTAAAGTATTACGGATAATGTAAGTTTTACGTCTATCGAGCTTTTCCATGGCCAGTGCGATTATTAAATGCCTGCCGGTAACTTGAGCGCTAAGTTTAATTAAAGTCAATTCCACAATTTACTGCCGCAATTAAACTCGAACAATCTGTCATTTTAATATTTCAGAAATGAACTTAATAATTATTACTATCTTTTTTTTCTAAACTAAGAAATTTGACGAGTCGTTAATAAGTCTAGAGATTGTGGAGTTTAAACACTACATTCTGTCGACACTATCCTACTCCTGGCTACCTGACTACCTCACTAGCACAGAGCTACGTTCGTGAACCAAACCTCGAAGGCACTAGAGTCCTAGTGGTTAAACGAACATAACGTCTCCCATTTCGATATCAACGAGTACTACCTACATTCAATCACTTCAGCACACTGTTGACATGTCATCTGGCATCGGGCAATTCCTCACAACACTTCGATTTTATAAACAGATCTTAAGTTAGATCTTAAAATTCCGGAACGGAAAGTCACCGTTGCAGTTAGCATGTTAATATTCATCACGGTGCCTTACAATTTATGATCAATCCTTCGCACGTAACAACGACATTTGTCGTGTTTCCCGTATTTTCCCGACGCTGGCAACACTTAGTCCATTAAAAATTTGCGTAAATTTGATAAACGCAAAAGCCTCATGATCGCAAGTTCCACCGTTATATTTATTACTACACTAAAATCACAAATAAAAAGGACAATATTCCTATTAAAATGTTAACATTCAGACGTACGTACGTACGACGTCGTACGTACGTCAAGAACACGGAAACAACTTTCCTACATCGATCTAAACATTGATATGACTCGAGTAACGAACTATTGACTACGTTGAAGAGTTTGAATCTACATGTCTTTCCTAAAGCTTCCACAATAATCATAATTTTAAAACACTCGACGTATCAAATTTCACAATCGAGTTTCAATAAATTGTAAGTTGTCTGACGCCGTGGGTCCGCCGCAGTCGTCCGCGCCGGCCGTGCCTCGCTCAGCATCAGAACAATGAAGATAATTCCAATTATTATGTAACCGCCAAAATTTTAAAAAGTCCACATCAGAGTAATTTACAATAAAACCTTATTTAATACTGTTTACGGCTTAAACTACACTTCAAATGTATTCTCTATTAGAAGAGGAGACGTAAAATGAATTGCACGACACATATACAGGTAGAACACTTCCTCTCGTAAACTCCGCATCATCCTTACAAAGGACATGCTGTCCTCTGTACGGCCATCGAAAGTGACATTTCCATTCCACGCGGATATTATTAACAATACAGGACACCGATACATTTGGAATGGAAGCAACAAGAATCTATCTATTTAAAAAAGGATTGGAATCACTGAGGTCAATCCCATTACAATATAGTTTGGATAAACCGAATTCCATTCCATCTTATGAGACGAACGAAGTCGATTTCAATTGTTTGTTTATAATTACCATGAATAACAATTCCAGCCTCAACCCCTCACATAGCACGGAACCACAACTCCATTTCATAAGATGGAATACCACTGAACGGATCCGATTAAATACTTTGGAACGACAGCGAGCTCTATTCCGATTTCACCACTCCACTACCATCGTCCATAACTAATGACACTTGGACTTGGATTGGGCAGTATCGCGTTACGCTTATTAGATTAATTAAATTGATTAATAACTAGTAATTGTCGTTAATTCGTGGAACAGCTTAGTAACAGCACGTTAGGGTGCGTACACTCGTGGTCTCTGGGGTCACACACAGCTCTCCACACACTGGGAAGCGTGGGTCTGCTCCTAGAAGGATGCCTCGACGAGGTAGGTCCCGTCCATCGCAACCCCTGTCTGGTTTCCTTGCACCGTGCTGCCCGCAGGAATGTATTTACCGCATGCTTGCTGCAATAACGAAACACTTCATTCATTATTTTCATTTCAAATCCTAATTATTTTTTAATGGATTCAAGTTTTTAATTTTAATATTTTTCAGGAGGTTTTTTCCATTTTTTATTTAATAAATAAATAGTGTCGTACCGTAATTTTTCTATTGACAGTATAAAAAGTATAAAGGGCTTACGAAACTGTCCATTCTCCCATTTATATTATCTTACAATGAGAGACGAGCATGCGGTTTCTGCTGCAACCGTTGCACATGACATTAACAAGATCAAGATAGGAAGACTGGCAGGGTGCCAATCGTAACCACTCGTGAACACATCGCACGTTATGTACATAAAATATTTATGGAGAAGGAGTTAGAATATAGTACGTCCCCGATAGTGTCCCCGGAGTAACTGTCCGATAAACTTTCTTACGTAAATTCAATTTTTAAAACTATAGGTTTGTGTCACACAATTAGTTACATTTCTACACGAATATCCCAAAATATATAAAAATTAAATAGCTTAATATCACATGTAACTAACTACATACTTCGTTAACATATCAACGAAAAAAGCTCTCACAAAAAGCTACACTTCACTTAACACAACAAAATTAAATAAATAAAAACATAATCTGTGAATAGTAGAATGTGTGTTTGTGCCATGCCAATAAAATCAACTTTTTCCTTATTAAATGTAGACCCAGCAGCGTGTAACGGTATGTTAATTCTAAGGTCAAAGGTCAGAGTTTAACCACATATGTAATTATGTTGTGCTAATGTTTAAAAATGTACTCATAATTTTTGTAATGGTAATTTTATTGTATGCGTTCTCCCGTTGCGAACAGTGAACTAACTCGAGGACGAATTATGTTTAGACCTTCCATATGTTTTGGAAGATCTCGGAGTCGGTATGTCTTTGTGAACCTCACCCTACTCCTCATGCCGCGGTGCCAACGGCGGCGTCGGCGTGGAACGTGAATATCTTGTATACCTCACACGTTATTTTTAAAACTGTGTGCTAAAAGTTTTCTTTCGATAGAAACGTAATGTGCATATCGAAGTAAAAATGAACCAATGAACGAGTTGAGTAAAGTTATTGAAGTCTGACCGATGACCAAAGTTTGTAGCGGTATGTGAGAGTTCACTGAACTCGTTGGTGATTGAATAATGTTCGGATATCGACGGTAGGAATACGTAAATACATGAAAACAACGCGACTGATTTTATTTTCAAAATACTTTCTTTTCTTGAACCAGCAAATTAATATGACGGCTTCATTTTACTTGTTTTTTTTTTCGATAAGAGCCAATTTTATTTACGATGTGTGCAGTGTGTTGGCATTTGTACTGCTTTGTTGGTTTCAAATGTGGAATAATTATATTGAATAATTAAATGTACATAAACACGTAAATGAAGAAGGCATCCTCCATCAGCAGCATGAGAACACTTACAGCACTCTTGGATCTACAGTCGCTTTCTTTTTTTAATAGTATAATATATTTATGTATATTTGGAAACAATATATATTTATTTTATAATAGACAATAAAGCGACTCATATACATTACGAAACAACAATATAAAAACAACAAATTATTATTTAATTACAATAAACACGACAGCGAAAGCTAATCACAAATACAACAACTTACAACAACTTTTACAAGACCCGTAACAACAATAAGGGTACAACGTGAAGCAACACAACATTATATTCGCAGCCAACACCCTGCAGACATTTAAAGCCTTTATATTTATGTTCAGCGAATCATACCACACAGCGAATCTAAATATTTTGCATAGTTCATTTTTGTCAATAACATTGTGGCCAAAAAATAAAGGAACACAACTAAATAGAATTAAATGATATTAGAAGAGAAGACCACAAGGTAACAGTCATATTCCACAATGAATATGATCTTTTCTAAGTTAGAAGCACAGTAACGGGGCGGGTGAGGTGGGAGCAGATCTCGCTGCGTGGTACAAGAGGCCGCGCGCACGTACTGGTAGCGGGTCCTCGCTTGCGGCGGCCGACACCGACGTGTCCGAGGGCCGCGACGTAGCGGTGTACCGCCGCGCCTTCCGGCCCTTCCTACTTGACTCTAATATCAGGACCTGCCAGCCAAGTCTCAACTCAACCACTCGTACACACAAGGTTCGATTTCGTTGGAAAGAAAAACTAAATTTTGGAAAACGTAAAAGTGTTCGTGTGTTACAAAAGGTGTTAAATTTGTGTTTTAGAGTCGAGGTACAGAGTAGATCCGAAATAAAATACAAAACAAATTAGCATAGACATACACATATATACGTATAAACACAAAACTCAGCTTTTTCTTAACATATAAATAATTATTTTTCTTCCCCATAATAACTACTGAGGACGCAAAAAGGGAATCAGCGCAACGCTACGGTCTTCGATTTAAACAATTTATAAACAGCTGGTGTTCTGGTGTAAGAATTGCGTTCATTCCCAATTTCGTCACAGCCGTAATACTTACCATACGATAATCAAACGCAACGGTCACACATTACACTGTAGCTTGAAGCCAAATGACTCTATGGTTACAATATTGGACCCCATCAAGCTAGACACACACGGCTAGCGGTATATAGGCACGGACTCGCATCCCAAGCCACGAAACAGCGGGTCTTGTGTTAACGCACACCCTATTTCTATGACCTTTAAGACTCAACACGAGATGCCACTCGAAGAGGCGAAACAATATCTCTTGTCGTGTTCTCGAGACTGCCAGACTAACAGTCGTTTAAAAAGACGTTTAAAAAAAGTTTTAAGAGGACTTTTAAAAGGATTTCAACATTTAGGGATAAACCTAAAGTGTACAAGTTACTCTCAAGATTTGCGATGCGTCTACATATGTACTCGTGCATATTTGAATGAAAATGGCCTCACTTTAACCGCTGCATGTTGCATTTGACGAATCCGCTGAGTAACTACTTAATACGAAGTGCTCTGAGAGAAATTCAAGCATCCATGTTTATGTACCAGTCCATACATATACTCAAACAATTCCATAGTCAGTTAAATGTTTATAAGAATTGTCTAAACAGGCCACAGACGTTACTGAAAGATACTACAGTTTGAAGAAATTTCACGTAAAAAAAAATTGGGACTGTTAACTGCGGGGCAAGAACAAACATAATGGGATCTTAATCAGTCGGGTTGGGACCGGCGGTCACAACTGTGCCGGTTGATTGACGGCTTGGACAACCGTTGCAACAACGGGACAAGGCTGTGGGCTCTTGTAACTTTTTAAAATCAGCTGCAAAACTTAGGAGTCTTTAAGTTTCTTCTGTTTCTTAAACACTTGGAAATATTTAGGACTTTACTGAAATAATTCTAATACATGATTTATGTAAAGATTTAACTCAAAGGAACATGTTTCCTAATTATTACAAATTGTTAAAAAATCTGTGGTCACATACTGTCTGTTCTCTTCTTAACTCTATCAAAAGCTCTAGAAATTGGATAAGGCCATGGAAATAGTTTGACAACACAAGATCCCGCGACAAGGACGACTGATGGCTTAGAGCGACTTCACGTGACGCGTAGCCGGGCAGCGTTCAACAATATAACTCTATCAGTATGTCCTTCTCGAAATAACCTCCCACGTATGTCGTAGTGACTGATACCAGATTAGCTCACGTAGATTATGAATGTTTAAAACACAATTGTTGATATGATAACGCTACCCAGCTACAGTCGCACACGACTGTGGCTTGTACAAGTAGGTACCTCTCGGCGGTAAGAGATGAGTCCGATCGGACTCACACAGCGCACTGAGCGATGACGCTTCTGTCATCAAAACACAATACTAGTCACTTAAAGTAATAGAACTAATTAGTTATATTTTCACTGTTTGGATGAGCGCAGACGAGTAGGTACCACCAGCCCGCCCGTTTTCATCGTCAAGTAAAGGTTCCGGTTCGTAGGGAAGACAGCTGCTATATAATACAATTTTGGACATCGATTTATCTCAAGAGGAGTGCTGCAACAACATAGCTGCACCCCCCGCCCCGACCTCCACCCCCGACGTATTCGGTTCTAAATAATGTATTTATATGGAAATAGTTAATTTATTTAGGCCTCAGTAGGCTACGTGACAGTCCGTAAAGCTGGATAAAAATTAAAAACATGTAACCAAGCTCTTCAAGCGGTCAAAAAACTTAAACGAAAAACTCAAGTTCTAATCCTGTTATTAATTGAACGTATTGACACTTCAATACATGGATAAATTCCATGTATATCTAAATCCCAAATTAACTCCATAAATGCTAAGTTCGAAACCATAACGACTCGTTTAACAAAACCGGTAAGTACTATTTGTAAAAACTGTTTTCGCTCATCATTTATCGTCTATATATATATATATAAATGAATTGCTGTTCGTTAGTCTCGCTAAAACTCGAGAGCGGCTGGACCGATTTGGCTAATTTTGATCTTGAATTATTTGTGGAAGTCCAGAGAAGGTTTAAAAGGTAAATAAATATGAAAATGCTCAGAATTAAATAAAAATAACAATTTTGTTTTTCCTTTGATGTGTCCCCTTGATGTGTCTTTTATTTATCGATTGAGGCACTACGAATTCTGCCGGGTCAGTTAGTTTACTAATACAAATATTGGTAACTAGCTGTACCCGTCTGCTTCGCATTATTATTTCTCACCCTCACAAAGATTCTCATCATTAATGCCTCTGCAACTGATAAGTCCAACACTCATATAAATATTAGCCTAACCATTAAGTACATGTATTATCTACATGGATACCAAGTTTCAGGTCAATCGGATGCACGGTTCAGTAGTTATAACGGAACATCCGTAAACACCACTGTAGATTTATATATTAGTATAGATACCGAATGAAGACAGCTCATAGCTGATGCGTAACAAATGTTCACCTGGTACTTCTGTGGGCAGCAGCCGCACCGCGCGCAGCAGGCCAGCAGGGCGGGCGCGCGGGATGAATGGGCGGGTGACGCGAGGGGCGAGGGCGAGCCCGGCCTCTTCGCAGCTCCGTTGTAAGGGTTCTCTATCTCCACGAACTCCCGATCCTGGGAACAATGCCGACACTTAACTATCTAGGGGTGCAATATGAGCTTCCGTAGCTGCCCTGACCTGTAATGTGAAATTTAGCAAAAATAGTAAATCATACATATAAGTTTGGGGAAAAAGTTTCTTCGCATTTTTTAAGAAAATTCGCAACATTTTTGAATATAGTATATTTACATTTAACTAAATTATGTAGGTATCATGATCCCATTGCTTTAGAAATTTTGGGGCTTCTGATCAAAATACCGCGACAATTGGTTTTGGCAGTCCTCTCGTGATGTTAACCTGACACTGCCTAAAGAATTCTGAAGAGACCGAAACAGGTGGAATTCTGAAAGTGCAAGGTCAGGACTATGCGGCGGATGCATTAACACCTCCCAGCCAAGCTCCACTTCCGGTAACCCGGGTTTCGCCACAGTCTGTGAAGCCTGACCAGCCTTTGACCACGACTTTTTTTGCACGTTCTTGTCGTACGTGATCCACTTTTTATCACCAGTTATCAGCTTCTTCAAAAATGGTTCGGTTTCATTACGTCGTAATAAAGAATCACAAATGAGTAGACGGTTCATTAGGTTTCTTTCAGTGAGCTCGTGAGGTACCCAAATATCGAGCTTTTTTGTGTACCCAGTTTTTTTCAAGTGCGCCAAAACTGTTTTGTGGTCAATTCTCAGTTCTTCAGCTACGTCGTAATACCGATGTGTCAATCTTGCTCCAATTTTTCAAAAATGGCATCCATTTTAAACGCTTAAACCAAAGTGCTACTCTCACAGACACTGCACTAGGTCCATAAACATCGCAAATTTTTTTCGCGGCTTGCGTTGCATTTTTACCTTTTTTGTATTAAAATTTTAAAATGTATTGAATTTCTTCATTACGTTCACTCATCTTGACAGTACGAAAAATAAATAAAAATCACACATTTTCCTAATTTGAATTTGGAATTATCTTTTTTAAAATTTAATCTTTTAATGATACCAAAACCAACCAGATACAAATAGTATAGTCAAAGATATTTTATTACAAGTTCATACATACTATAATGCGAAAATACTTTTTCCTCAACCAATTATGTACTTCCTGAATAATGTAATTATTTTAATTAGAAATTAAAGTAAATTCCACGAATAATAAAGTGTGCTCATTTTTCATTGATGTCTCAGTAGAAGAACATGAGCGGTCGGACCTGGATGCGGTCCCCGCAGTACTAACAGCAATCAGGTCGTGAGGGTCTACCACTTATGCCAAATAAAATAAAATGAAAGGGCGATGTGAGTATATTACGTTCTTTTTGTCAACTGTGAGTCCATACCTCGAGCTAGTGCTGTTGAGTCTCTAGCGAGATGGCTGCGACTCCACAAGGCTCCTAACAATTATATTAAGTCACTCTCTCCCCTTGTTTAACAAATTATAAAACCAATGTGAGCTTCTGACCTCGCGACCTGAACCCAACCTTTTGATCTTTGAACTCCAACTTCATACGTCTAAGAGCGGCTGGAGGTGGCTGGCTCGCGCGTCATACTCGTGGGGTGTAGGGCTCCGGGTCACGTGGTCAGGCTTGCTTGAGACCTTTACTTTCATCTAATGACAATGCAGGCTCTATCAATCATGGTTATATGCCTAGGCTAAGACCTAACCGGTTTTTGCCTGTACTCTGTACTCTCTGGTAACTGGTCGTATTACTGTTCGCTCCTTGTGAGAAGAAATTGGGGCCCAAGCTTCTAGTAGCTGATAAAGAAATTATATGCAACTAAAAGTCGGAAAATTAGGGAACTTCATGTGAAAAAATATTTAGTTTACTTTCTGGCAATGACGTTCAGAGTGGCTGACCNAGGCTAAGACCTAACCGGTTTTTGCCTGTACTCTGTACTCTCTGGTAACTGGTCGTATTACTGTTCGCTCCTTGTGAGAAGAAATTGGGGCCCAAGCTTCTAGTAGCTGATAAAGAAATTATATGCAACTAAAAGTCGGAAAATTAGGGAACTTCATGTGAAAAAATATTTAGTTTACTTTCTGGCAATGACGTTCAGAGTGGCTGACCATATTTTGTAAGTATACCTATCAAGCGCACAGTACAGGGTAGTCGAGGCTTACTTTATAACAAACTAAACATGAGTAGCAGGTAGCAGTCAGCAAGTGGCAGTGAACTATAAGATAATAGAAGCAGGTTAATGAATATTTTCAATAGTTCAGAGTTTGTTGACTTAAGGAATTGGGGTTCAAACCATACGTTACAAAAATTCAATCAATGAATTCATCTCACCGTAGTCCTCTCCAAGCATCGCAAAAGATGGTGATGTTGCAATTCGAAAATATCCTCATCCCTGCCGGCATCATCAAGCTCCACGCCTGACTCCTGGGCTGCAAGACGAGCTTCGGCAGCTTTCTTCTTGGACACGAAGGCAGCGCCTGAGGATGCCTTGGCAATGCGGATGCGGGCAAGACGGGCTTTCTGAAAGTTCAAATGAGAGGTTTTATTAAATTTTACAGGACACGGTATTTGGTGGTGGCATCGGCGAACTGCTGGGTGACGTTTAAAACTGAGTGAATCATCTTGAAGCTGTCTGAATCGCATTTGTACCTGATTCATGTTTAGATCATCAAGCCCATTCATACATGGTATGATACAATCGTAAACGTACTCTTCTGTGTTTATATACGCGTCAGTCACCGCTAACCTACAATGATTGAACTAGTGTCGATTTGGTTAAGTTAATCTATAATAGATCCAATAGATTTGTGTTGAAATTAGGGGCAAATTAGTAGTAGCAGTAGCTACAGGTGGCCACGGTCGCATACCTGGTGTTCGATATATATGACCAGAGAGCAATTATCAGCGTTTGAGCGTTTGATCTATTAACCCTGTTTTGAGTTTAGTGACATTTACGGTTCATAAGTACTGGCCATAATCCAGAGGTGGTAGGGCGTCTTGTGAGCCTACACGGGCAGGTACCACCAGCCTGTCTATTTCTGTCGTGAAGCAGTAATACATTTCGGTTTGAACTGTAAAATTTAGACTTAGAACTTATGTCTTATGGTGGGTGGCGGCATTTAACATTGTTGACGTCTATGAGCTCCGGTAACCATTTAAAATCACATAGGCCATGACCTAGTCCATCGACATAACCAATAAATATAAATAAATATATGAATCATTACTGTTACATTATTAAAACACTTGATTTTCCCCGCGAATTCGTCGGCGTGGAATAGTTCACAAATAATGCTTTATTTTAGAACAAATTTAGTTAGCATAAAAAACGTTATAGTGAGCCAACCTTAACATATAGACATATGCTGTCGCAGTTTTTTTTGGATCTTTTAAAGGAGAACAATTCTGTCATACATTATTTTAGCGAAACTTTAACCGTTTCTGCAGCGCACGCAACGGAAGCTCTCAAAAGGGAAAAAACCCTGATTTTGAAACATTATTTATTGGTGCTCCGTTTGTATTGGTCTTAGCGTGATGCTATATAGCCTATAGCCTTCCTCGATAAATAGGCTATCTAACACTTCAAATCGGACCAGTAGTTCCTGAGATTAGCGCGTTCAAACAAACAAACTCTTCAGCTTTATGATATTAAGTATAGATTAAAACACTTACTCGTTGTGCCTTCCTTTTATCAGCGCGTTGGTTTTGGTGATAGATCCTGGAGAAGTTGGAAACGATGACCGGTACCGGTAGAGCAATGACCAGCACTCCGGACAGCGAGCATACTCCACCCACGATCTTGCCCGCGATGGTGCCCGGGACCATGTCGCCGTAACTGTAAAAAATACGCGGATATATGTAAAGAAGCTATTAGAGCTCTCGTGATGGCTACCGTCTCCCTTCGATAAGACGACAATTTTCTTACAATTTTTTTTTATTACTTAGATGGGTGGATGAGCTCACAGCCCACCTGATGTTAAGTGGTTACTGGAGCCCATAGACATCCACAACGTAAATGCGCCACCCACCTTGAGATAAAAGTTCTAAGGTCTCAAGTATACTTACAACAGCTGCCCCACCCTTCAAACCGAAATACATTACTGCTTCACAGCAGAAATAGGCAGGGTGGTGGTACTTACCCGCGCAGACTCACAAGAGGTCCTACCACCAGTAATACCACAATAAATCGGACACGCTCGTGTCAGCAGCCTGTACCTATAGAGACTTAACTGATGTCTTTTGTGAGCTAGTCTGACCACAACATTTCAATCTCACTAGCGGTATATACTATTATATAAAATCTACGCGTTTTTATTGACGCGGCTGGCACGCCACCTGCCTTACATTGATGATACTATTTTGTAAGCTTTTTTGTGAAGAAAGTTTTACTGGGGGCCTAGAGGCCTTTCTAGTTTCACCAGGATAGGTGGGTGAGCACAGGCTCAACCAAGAGGGATGGGTTTTGCTAACAGCTGGACGAGCGCCCCCGGTGGAAAACTAAATTAATTTTGTAAAGCTCTACAAGAAACTAACTGAACTGCTTCAAATACTCGCAAGTACACAACACACAGGCAGACAAACATGCTACAAATAATTACTTTTAATTAATTCATGAGTAGTTCAGACCTAACACCGGGTTTGGTTTTTTTTTACAAAATTCACTTTGACATAACTTTGTGCGTGATATTCTTGTGATCTCCCTTGCTACTGGCAGAAGAGCGAAGTTATATAAATTGTTCAATCTTGTTAATATAGTGTATTTTCATGTTTAAATGTTTTTTTTTTTTTTTTTTTTTTCNGCAAAGAATGAGACAGAAATATACATACTATTTAATACAGCGCCATCTGTGAGATTTTTTAATACTAACGTGTGTATGAAAGCTCTTGTAGTGAATTTTAATTTAAGATTATACGTGAAATTAAAATATCAATTCACAGAGGGCGCTACCTTACAATTATTTACTAATGACAAAATTTTACATATACTTAAGACGTTTAGGATAATTCTATTTTAATTTTGGAAGGTTTCACTTCTGCCACGTGTGAATTGCACACATATATTTTTTTTTTTGTGAAGAAAGTTTTACTGCTGGCCCAGAGGCCTTTCTAGTTTCACCAGGATAGGTGGGTGAGCACAGGCTCAACCAAGAGGGATGGGTTTTGCTAACAGCTGGACGAGCGCCCCCGGTGGAAACCTAAATTAATTTTGTAAAGCTCTACAAGAAACTAACTGAACTGCTTCAAATACTCGCAAGTACACAACACACAGGCAGACAAACATGCTACAAATAATTAGTTTTAATTAATTCATGAGTAGTTCAGACCTAACACCGGGTTTGGTTTTTTTTTACCAAATTCACTTTGGCTTAACTTCATGCATGCTATTCTTGTTATCTCCCTTGCTACTGGCAGAAGAGCGAAGTTATGTAAATTGTTCAATCTTGTTAATATAGTGTATTTTCATGTTTAAATGTGTAATAATAACAGTAGTTTATAAATTCTTTAGGATCTGTGAAAGCGCACAAATGTGGGAAAATGAAGCAAAGCCACCGGACGTAGCTTCTCGAGTTCTTCCAAAATGTCAAAAGTCTTAGTAAGAAGTCGTCGTGGCCTAAGGATTGAGACGTCCAGTGCATTCGTGTTGAGTGATACACCGGTGCTCGAATCCCGTAGGCGGGTACCAATTTTTGTAATGAAATACGTACTCAACAGATGTTCACGATTAACTTCCACGGCGAAAGAATAATAACATCGTGTAATAAAAATCAAACCCGCAAAATTATAATTCGCGTAATTACTGGTGGTAGGACCTCTTGTGAGTCCGCGCGGGTAGGTACCACCACCCCACTTATTTCTGCCGTGAAGCAGTGATGCGTTTCGGTTTGTAAGGTGGGGCAGTCGTTGTAACTATACTTGAGACCTTAGAACTTATATCTCAAGACGGGTTGCGCATTTACGTTGTAGATATCTATGGGCTTCAGTAACCACTTAACACCAGGTGCGCTGTGAGCTCGTCCACCCATCTAAGCAATAAAAAAAAAGTAAATAACCACCATTAGACTGAGAATATATATCTCATTTCGCTTCATATAATTTTTCATATAACAGAATGTAAGAATATAACATAAGACTTCGCTTAAAGGTCATGTTACAAAAAATTCCAATTAACTAACATCGGTATTAATATAAATTAAAATCTTTAGAGATCTCTCACTAAAAAGGATGGCAAAAATCTTACGCCCATACATCTTGAAAAGTTCAGATCACAGATACTTTCACAGATACCTTGGGCCTTTAACATTGAGAGGTAAGAAACTGTAAGTACCAGTTTGTAGTCTTCTAAAAGAACTGAATATTCTTCTTACGTTGAGAGAATTTTTGAAAGGTCCAATATATATTTTTTCGATACGTAAATAAACGCAAAACTTCCAACCCTAGCTCTTGTAGCTAGAGACCGTCTGTTCTGCCGCATGAGGTCGAGCTTGGTCAATAGGGGCAGAGGGGACGAGGGATTAACCAGGACTGGCCGGACATTGTGTCCAGCTCCTCACAGTACACATCCGCAGTAATGCTCCTGCCATTTGGTAAACAACTGTGATAATTATACCGGCGTTAGACCAACAAACAGTGACCGTGGCTCTTTTAGAGTAAAGTTTTCTTTTGAGGCATTGTCTAGGTGCTTAAACTGGATCTGAACAACAAGATCACCGTTTATAATTAGCAAAAATAATCATTTCTCCATCACAAGTAACAACGCAGTTGACAATCTCTCAGTTTCTTTGTCTATTAAGTAACGCAAGCCACGCCGTGACGTGCTCGTCGCGCTGGCGATTGTTCAGACGGCTCTCGCATTACATGATTACTCGTATCTTCATCGTGTTCATATTGATGGAAAAGATACAAATGTAGTGAAAAAAAACTCTAATTAATCTATACTAATATTATAAGTGAAGAGTTTGTTTGTTTGTTTGAACGCGCTAATCTCAGGAGCTACTCGTCCGATTTGAAAAATTCTTTCAGTGTTAGATAGCCCATTTATTGAGGAAGGCTATATAACATCACGCTAAGACCAATACAAACGGAGCACCAATAAAGAATGTTTCAAATCAGGGTTTTTTTTCCTTTTTGAGAGCTTCCGCTGTGTGCGCTGCGGAAACGGTTAAAGTTTCGCTAAAATAATGTATGACAGAATTGTTCCCCTTTAAAAGATCTAAAAAAAAGTCCCCGACAGCATGTCTATATGTTAAGGTTGGCTCACTATAACGTTTTTTATGCTAACCAAATTTGTTCTAAAATAAAGAATTATAGGTGGAGGTGTTTTTATGAAGATGATATTAATCCCTATCCAAATAAATACATTGTTCATTACAACATTGAAACACTCAAATCAATTCAAGATAGGCTTTGACAATTATAGATTTTTCTGGATTTCCCCAGGATCCCATCATCAGATCTTGATGATTACAGGACCATTCGGGAAGTCTACTCTTTCGAACAAAAAAAAGAAAAAAGAATTATCAGAATCGGTTCAAGGATTTTCGAGAAATCGGTGAACATACATAGAAAAAAATTATAGTCGAATTGATAACTTCCTCTTTTGAAGTCAGTTAAAATGCGTAATTTTGGTACCTTAAATAGCTCTTTAACATTCTATTATTCAAAATATTTTCACTTTCTACATAAAAAAGAGACGGGTAAAATTTAGCGTTATGTCAAAGTAACTATACCACGCGTACGAAGTCGCGGGCAAAAGCTAGTACACAAATTAAACAAATAAATGACTGTGTTTTTAAATAATATAATTTCAATTTTTTTGTATTAAATATTATATTTGAGTTCACAATTTATCGCCATACATAAATTACGATTCAAATGGCCAGTTTTGTAAAACGGAGACTTATTATAATTATTGTAGACTAGCGGCCCGCTCCGGCTCCGCTCGGGTTTTTAACCAAAATTTCAACGATATTTGACATTGTTTTGTATTTTTACATAAAAGAACACTTATTGCGGCAGAACTATAATAGTTAGATAATATGCTGTCGCGACACTTTTTGTAAATAATAATGTGTTCTACAAAGTCATAGTACATTATTTTATTCTATCATCAATTGCTTTCGCAAGGCACGCGATGTAAATAATATTTTAGGTAATTTTTTTACACCTTGTATTACATTATTAGAGTTTTAGTAAGGATCCCTAATTTTTTCAAAAAAGTTTATATCCTATGTCATTCGGCAATAGTGTAGCTACCAAACAGTGAAAGAATTTTTCAAATCGGTTCAGTAGTTTCGAAGCCTATTCAATACAAACAAACAAACAAATCTTTCCTCTTTATAATATTATTATAGTATAGACAAACTTTGATTATTACGTAAACAAAAGCACAGAGGACCATTCTCGACGCCTGTACAGAGTAAAGCTACAGTTGTTACGTCGAGAGAACACGATATGAATTAACAGCAGGCTCCTATTACTAATGAATGTACATGATAATAGATACGTACATTTTCTTCACAGGCCAGATAGCTCATTAGAACAGGAAGCTCGTGCGGAATTACGTCGAGCGTGTAACAATCGCTGGACTTGAAGATTTATCGCATACGATATAAAGATTAAAATGGTTTATACGGCCGGACGCGGTCGCTGTGTTTTTTTGTAGTTTATTTGCTTAAAGGTTTTTTATTGAGCAACTAAACTCAGTTTTCACAGCTAATACAGCAATTTCCGGCAGCAATAACCCTGTTTTGAAATTGGTTCATAATCGATATGCTTTAAAAGCTCAAGTGTATGAGTCAAGTGCCGTGACGTAAATAGTGCTTTATTTGAATATAA